GAGGCAATTTTGTCTTTGGTCAGTTGGAGTTCTTGATTCAAAGTTTGGATTCTTGTTCCCATTGATAAAACTTTGTCGATGTTTGTGTTTGTCTTCTCTTTCAATGAAAGACAAACATCAATATCAGCTGTTCTGATTGTGTCAATTGGTTGGCTAGCCGCAGATTTGGAATATGAAGAACAACCACTGTCTGACATGCAAGCAGGCACTTTATGATTGTACTCATGTGATCGTTCCAAGAATGTGCGTGTTGCAAAGTGCAGTTTTGTAGCTGTATCAAGCGCGCATAATTTTAAGAAGGACGACCTAATCAATCTTCCAGTTTTTGCTGAAGCAATGAGATTGAAATGAAGGCTGCGACTCCATCTGGTTGGTGTTGATCTGTGGTTCTATATCACAGAGACGATGCTACCAAATGACAATCATGAGGGGGTGGCATTGTATGTACACATGGTGATGCTGGTGATGTTTTGTCAATTCGATTGGCCAAACATAATTATTCTTGGTCACGTGTTTTGCTTCATTACCACTATCATGCCCAACGGTGTTGAATTTGTTTCTTCTTATATTATCTGATCTCCTGCTTTGATGTGGATTTCTAACTGACATCATTTCTATTTTGTCTTCATAAACTAACTTGATGTTGATGCGAATGGTGAGTTGATGAAGCTGTCTGGTCTTGCTGGATATTAAAAATAATGGTTGACATTGATTTGATAGTTGAGACATGAGAATTGAGTTTTGAATGATGATGATATCGAATGATATCTTGATTATTGATTCATTGATGAATCAGCAATTGTTGCTGATTCAATTTGAAGGTCTAGTATTTGAATGCAAATGTAAGTTTGCATGTGGATGAGTTTGTAACAATTTGACAATGATGATCAATGTGAATCGGTGAGAAATCCTAAGAGGGAAAGTATTGCCAAAGAGTCGTGGGTTTAGATGGTCAAGAAGTTGAATAGGGTGGTTGCTCGTATATTTACTGTTGGGTGCTTGTGGGTTCAAGATACCAGCGCATCAAACTTAAATTGATTGAGATAATTCTTGATGAGTCGGTCATCCTATAAAGTCTGATATCAGTTTTTTGTAAGGGTAGAGAAGAAGAAAGCCAATTTACATTCACTAGTTGAAGGTGGTTTAATGATTGGTTCAAGATCAAGGTTTGATGTAAGTCGAGAGTATTTGTTGTAACTGATTCTGAGCTACACGTTCATAAAGAAAACATCATTAAATCATGATGATGTGATAAGAAATGAAGCGTGTTACCATTTCTGGAATTCCCAAATGGATGAAAAAGATTCTAGAAAAGTTTTTGATGAATGAATGATTTTACTTGTTGAATCAATAAAGATTGGATAAGTAGGCAAAGAGTTTAAGATGATATGTATTTAAGAATTGGTTGGTAATTTGCCTACACTCAATGTTAAGATAAATTTACCAAAGCAATTCAGATGTAAAGGCATCATGGATAGTAGTTGTATGGAGGAGAAATTGAGGATGTTCTATGACACATTTGCTGACACAATCGGTCTCGTCCAGTGGCCTAAAATCACAATGTGACGGGTTTGGTTCAGGCGGTGGTGGGCCAGGGATGCCTGGTCTTGAGCAGGCAATATTAATATGACCTGAGTTACTCATGATGGTAGTGACAACGGCACATCAGGCATTTCAAGGGTGATGAGCAGGCTCACCATTAACGGTGAGAGAAGAGGATTGAAGCAATGGAATTAGCGTGGGGCTGAAAACTGGACCCGTATAGAGGTAGTCGTGCAGCAAGCACAGAGATTGGTAGAGGCAAGTAGAGCAGAAGCTGAAGGCTGTAGAAGGAAAAGTATAGGAAAGGTACCAGGTATAGAACAATGAAGGCTGAGTACTGGGAACAGTTGGCAAGAACATTTATTTAAGTATATAGATCTATAGTTTCAAATATTCACTATGTTTATCAACAACTTAAATATCCTGTGTTGTACCACCAGCTGTGTGAATAGATAGGTTCCAAGCTTGAACCATGTTTTTTGGCTGTTATTCTATTGTTTTTAGCTTGCTTAAGTATTACGATGATATAAGGGTTTGAAAAATGAATACAATGTAATGAGATTGAGGAATGATCAGAGTCAGAAGTTGAAGATGGAAGTGGTATTCATTTGATTGAACACATTGATAAGGGTTTGGATCGATTGACTGGAGGTAGATTTTGTTTAGATTCATAAAGATGATGATTGGAAAATCCTCCCAGTGTCCAAAACTTGGGCTGCTCAAAACTCACAATTTTCCCGGCAGGAATTGGAGGTTTTGACAGGTTTTGTTCAAATTGATAGTTCTCCGTTAAAGTTTATGATTGCTTGAAAATCCGGGGGTCTCAGGCCCAGCTTGGGGTATAAACCTTAAGCCCCTCTTTAAGAGCAGACATAGCCACATTGGAAGAGGGTTTTAGTAAAGCGAGCCAGATTTCAAAGTCTCATATCATAGATCTTGATTAGCTTACCAATGTCCACAGCATGTAGATATTTCTCTCGACTAGGGCTTTGTTGCAGCAATTTTTGATCTTAGGAGTTCCTGACCCTCACTCAAAGACTGAAGATATATTTTGAATGAACTGTTAAACTCTTCAAAGCATTTTATTTCCAGAAACCACTTGAAATTGAAAAATTCCAAATACATAGTATCAAAGGGCCTGTTTGGCTGCTTTAGCCAAAAAGTGTACACAGAAACACTTTTTCAATCTGCCCCTTTTTCATGGGGCGGAATGAAAAACTTGAATTTTGGTTATACAATTATCAAACATTCAACCAAAGACTAACTTAACTAAGTCCCTCTTGGACGTGCGAGTAGTCGAGAGAGGGACTTATGGCTTATACATGAATTTTGGCGTGTGAGCCAAAAATTTTTGGCTGGGGACTTTTTCAACCCTGAATAGCTCCGTCCCCTGCAAATAAATATCCTCTGGAGCTAAGAAAGGCCTTGTGCGCCTGCTCAACCTACACATATTGGGTCTTTTAAATTTATTACTTGGGTTTCAGAAAGTGCTGAAAACCAGACTTGAAAAATTGATTTTTGTGTAACAATCCAGCTTGTCTGGTGTGAGGTTTTGACACGTTGAACAGCTTTCTCAGGTATTGTAGTGTTTTTTCCAGTCTCTACCCTCTCATTACTCTGCAATAAATGGGCGAGATAAGGAGGGAGACACATTCAGGTGTGTAGGTTGAGCAGGTGCACAGGACTTCTCTTTGGTCCAGATGATATTTATGTGTAGGGGACAGAGATATGGGGGTTTGAAAAAGTCACCAGCCAAAGTATTTTGGCTCACACACCAAAATTTGTGTATAAGCCATAAGTCCCTCTCTCGACTACTCGCTTGTCCAAGAGGGACTTAGTTAAGTTAGAACCAAAGAGCTCATTGAAAAATTGAAACAGAGGGGCAAATAAGGGCAAAAAGTGTTTTTGGTCTCAAAAACAGCCTCAAGGCTATTTTTCAAAATTGAAGAGTTTTTGATCAAATGAAGCACTGCAAACATTATTCAACTTCCCCAAGTGGGCAGGAAAAAGTGATTGGGAGTATGATTTGTCATAAAATGATCTATCACTCCACACCTGAGCCATAACACCCACACTACATATGTGTAGCAGGCTCAGTGAATATGTGGTTATCATGTACATACAGTTCTGCTCAGTTATCTGCTCATCAGGATAAGTTATTCATATGTAATACATGCTGTAACTTTTTTGAGATCAAAAAAAGCATTCCAAAGATTGACTACATACACTGACTCAATGTTTTGGTGTAATCTCATGAACTCAACTGTATGTAACACCCTTTCTGTTACTAAGAAATAGCTTCAACAATATTGCCTGAGCACCTACAGAATTATATGTAGTGAATTTTGGGCACAATTTTTTCAAAGTCAAAAAAGTTACATGTGGTATAACATGTGATTTATTTCTGCTGGTGGGCAAAAAACTGAGCAGACCTGTATGTACATGATAGCCAACTATTGACTTAGCTTGCCGCACATATGTAGTGTGGGTGAAATGGCTCAGGTGTGCAGTATTAGATTCTTTGATGACAAACTGTACTATCAATCATTTTCCTCTTACAATTTGGGGAAGTTGAATGATGTTTACAGTGTGAAGTTACCACAGGCCGGTTTTTTGATGAAAATCAAAAACTGTTTTTAGGTTCCAGCCAAACAGGCCCTAGCAAATCTAGCTTTGAGTCTCTAAACATAGCAGTTTTAGATAGACCCAACTCCAGTGCTAAATAGACCTAAAACCGGTGCTAAATCTGAATGAGTGTCATGAAAAGGGCTTATTTGTCAACTTGAATGTAGAAATGAAAGAAAAAAAATATAAAAGATCTTGACACTGTGGCCAAATGCACAACATTTGGTGAATTCCATTGGGACCCGAGACACGGTGGATGAGAGCAGCGGCGGGGCCAGGGAGAACCTGGCCCCAGGTAGAGAGCAGATCCAGACTGGAAATTTTCCATCTGCACAGTTCCTGTATGCATCAGCTCACTGATCAGACACCTCAAGTTTGGATTGAGAAAAAACACCTCAAAAAGAAATATATAAATTTCATTTTCAAAAACTGTCCCCCCACCCTACACAAAAATTGTTAACAAAAGACAACAAAGGTAAAAAGACCGAAGAGAAACTTTTGAAACACATAAGAGTGAGATGTAGTAGGACACAGTAAGCTAACAAGGGAGGAGAAGATGGAATTGTAAGACTAGAGATAGCGGTTCCCATGGGCCACCCACCCGCCTCTGCTCACAAAAACCTTTCTCCAACAGGCAGTCCACGGCCTATGCCCCCCCACAGACCAGGTCGGAGCCTTTAAAAAGACAAAGACCTGAGAAAAACAAGAAGACAGAAGTGTTTTTAACAAGAACCGAATGAACCAGTCAAGGTCCAAAGATTGTAATAAAGGTCATAAAATTGATGAAATTAGTCAAACTAAATTCAAGAGTTCAACCTTCTTCTGTGAATTCTTCATCGAAATTGATCGCCTCTTCTGGCCATGATGGTTTGCGCGCATTCCAATTCATGTTTATGAAGGTAACCAAGATAAGTGTAAGGTCGCTGACAATACCGGCAATTTAGAGAGAGTGCTCCTAAGTTTTGAAAGTTCGTAAGTTCTCTTTGAAGGCTATCGAGTAGGATATCTTTAAGGACTCGAAATTGCTTACCTCGTGCATGAGTGCAAGATGTAGCATGTCTGTACAAACTTTCCGCGCTTTTACATTTCCTTTTACCTTTAGGGGAGAAGCGAAGATATGAGGACTGAGAACTATATCAAGACATTCTGATAACTTACAATCTTGGCACCTAAAATTCCCATTCATAGGATATCAGCACAAAGACAGAGGATTGAAAGCAAACATATCTGGTATTTGACTTACCTGAAGACTCCGTTCGGATCCGCCAAATCTGATTCAATGTATGGAATTCTCTCACTAGAACGGCCTGACCCTGATGGCGAAAAGTCTTGGGGTGAGGAGCTATAACGATCAGAAGAGAGAGCTCTAGTTCGAGAGCTGCCTCCAGATTCCCGCGGATGCATCTGAGGGTCTCTAGTAGGTATCAAGTCCTTAGAGATAGGCGGCGAGAGACCTTGTGGGCTGGTGCTACTTTTCATGCGATGACCATATCTATCAACCCCAGTGGATTCGTATTGAGATCTCGGGTCAAATTGCGCACGATCCCGCGAGCTTTCATATATGCCCGAGTTCCTGCGCGGAGACAACTTTTGTGACGATGAATATGCATACTCCCTCGATGAACTTAAATTCTCTGGGAAGGTATAGCCAGCTTGTTGACGAGTGTATTGTGAACCAGGATCTCTTCTCTCGTCATCGGGCCTGGCGAAGAATTCTCGAAGGCTTTTAGGATTCGGAGAATAACCGTCTGTGGCAGGTTGAAGCTTGTTGGCTGAAGGGCAAGTTGTGCTATATCTTCGCTGGGTTACAATTTGATTGGGATCCGGCAAATGGTAAAGTGATTGGGGTGCCGAGACGCTACCTTGGTCTAATATATAGGAACAAGGGTTTGCACAAATCGTAAGCCATGGCATTGTGTAACATACTGCAAAAGTAGGTCTGGAAATTCGGAGCCCGCCGTCGCTGCAGGGAGGGAGACATAGCTAGGATGACTTCACATACATGACGGCGCCATCCCTGATGTCCTGCGGAATAGGCTTTGAGAAAGATCAAGATCCCCGGAATAATTATGCGGCTGAGATCCACGTCGCATGCTGAAGTATGACTAGGGATAAATTTGATCGAGTGGTTGTAAGTTCTTGTTCCAGAAATCTACCCAATGGTTTGTCTGTCTAGTACCAAAGCATAAATAAGATGTGTGAACCATTATAGCTGGGGTGAAACGAACCCACCCACGGCACGGCTAAATTTCAGCACACCTTATGGAAGTTGAACGGGTCAAATATGAACACTTTAAAGCGCTCTTGTGTCGATGGAGATTGTCTGAATAAGAAAGATAGGATCCGGGAGGGTAGGCAAGTCGAGCGACGGAGTGCACAGACTAGAACACTTGATGCCGAACAAAAAAAACTGAGAACCTGTGTCTTTTATATCCACTCCAGGGCTGACTTCGTTCTTCTTATAATGACCTAACACAAATCGTACTCAAGAATCGAAGACAAAAGACATATGCGCACAAGTTTCTAATATTGGGAGTCTGTGCAGAAGCTGACAGATATAGCCACAACTGGATGTATCATTTATTCTCTGCGCGAACAACGCACGACAATTCAAGAAGGGGACCATGCTATGAAGGTGGAGCCTACGGGCAGTGTCAACTAGTATGATGTCGATTTCAAGTGTTCTAGGCGCAGCAACTATAATTTTCTCATTCCAGGGGCAACTTCCTCTCATAAGGTCAGCGTGATTGAACGTACAAACAGAGTTACAAACAGCACTCGAAGCAAAAGCTAATACGTACTGTCGATGAAGTCTGGGGCCAACAAGGTGATACTTGACACGGAGCAAAAAAAAGTATATAGAAAGGTGAGAGTCAGGCGCCGTCCCAGCTCCTGGTTGAGGTAAAATTGAGTAAGGATGCATGATTGGTGTTTCGGACTGATGTTCTGATAGACCACCAGGTTCTGACAACGTTAACAAGCCGACTGTTGTGACTCTGAACCCAGCTCTGAACCCGCCTCGTAGCAGAGCCTCGGTCGGCGTTGAAAAACGTTCGTACTGTGACTGGAACACTGAGGCGCTGAGATCTACACTGCCCGTCGGGAAAAGGTGGAGCCTCAGACGGCGAGGAGTGCCAGAGCGCAGTGACTGTGATTGAAATACGACAAGTTCCGGGTGCGCCTGCTTCTCCTTCGAGGCCCTAGAGTCATAGACGACTCTTCACCTCGATCAAACATCAATCAGAAGGGTGACACAGTGCTATCACCTGATTTTTCATATCGATGAAACTTTCTAAGCATTCTGGTCACCATCGCACCATCGCAACTCAATCACTGCGGTCTGGGGGACAGCAGAGCTTAGAAAGGTATTTGTGAATGAAAGATAAAAGAATTGCCATAAAACACTACCAGGAAGTTGTCTCGGTTTTAATAACTACCGTGACTCTCTAATTTTGAATTTGAACCTGATGTGACACTGATACCCAACTCTTTCAGTCATCATCAAACCCCCCCCACAACTTAAGCTTGGTAGAACTTTTTACCGACTCTTCAGAATGTCCCGCCAGATTGCTGTGTTCTTAAACGCACATCATACGTGGTTGATAGGTATCTTTCGGTGGGGCCCGTGTTCAATATGTTTTTGCTGAAATGTGCAGCGTGATAGTAAAGCTCAGATCCTGGCTGGGCCCGTGGTTTGTTGAGCTCTGCAGATGGCTGCCTCGCCGACCTCTTCATCCTGCCCTCCATCAATGCAATCTCTTGGAGATCAATTATCAAAAACCTGGCCTATTGATCTGAGCAGTGTAACAGCACGTCGTATAACTTTTGTCAGTCATCTCCTTGACAAGTTTGAAATCATCTCAGATTCTCGAAGTCAGTGTGATAAGTGTAAGATGAACGGCTTGAGATAGATTCGATTCCCAAAGTGCAACAATTTTGAACAGCTGGAAAACGTACACGTACAAAGCCCTTCCATATTTCTTTTACCTCACAAGTAGCAATCAATCAAAGACACCCGCACTTGTGTATGATATAAATATTTGATTACCTTTGATGATTTTGATGATTTTGCGTAGAATTTTCAAGCTGAATATTTATAAAAATATCAATCAAGAAAGAGAAAGAAAGGTGAGGTATCTTGTTTTGAGTGTACGAAGACTCATTCTCCACTACCGGTGAATTGGGAAGTAAATGTGGATGGAGAGACACAACCACAACTAATATCAATAAAGTGGATTGGACAAAAGGTGAACAATATCTTCTGTTCTCCGTTTGGATTCCCACTTCTTATTCTACATCTTATGAAATCACAGATCTCTCTGGGATCAAAAAACTATCTAAATTGGATAAAAATGATGGAATGCAGACTCGATTGTATGTGTCTTCTTAAAATTGATAACAGCACGGAGGCAAAAAGTACAATCCCAACTGTTGAACCTTGAATATGTATCATGAAGTCTAAGACTTATTCAATCAAACTCGCATTCCATTCTTGTCATCCATGCAATGTATTCCCTTGTAATGAGTAACATCTGTGATGACACCCTGGTATAGTTTTTGAAGTGATCTACATTCTAGAATCAATATTGCTTGGATTTATATCCAGCAGATCATAACCTGATGACCACCTAAATCAAGATAAACCACATTGCAATATCATAATATCTTGAGTTTTGTTTCATCATTGCATAACCAGCACTGGATTTCAAGCTGTTAATGATGACTGAAACCTGGGGAACAGGTCTTTAGCTGGAGCTGATCAAAAAATGACATGGGACAAAAGCAATCACGGCTTGTAACACTACGCCAGATCACTAATTTACCACTGAGTTTAGAAAATTGAAACTGTAGAAAAATATCACCAATACAGGAGAGGTCAGAAAAATTTGAAAAAATAATGATTCCATTCATGGGTGCTGTCCCCTAATTTTGCATATTTTTGCATATTTTTGCCATGATTTTTGAAGTCTTCCCAAAGCAAAATGCTCACAGGGGATATTATGTCAGAAACTCAAATTTGGTCCAAAACTAGCAATATTTGGGCAAAAACCTCCAAGCACAAAGATATGAGTATTTTTGTTCAATCATCTGAACACTTGCAATTTATGGAAGCCACATGATGGCTCTACAAGGTTTATTAAGGTGCTGAAGCCATTGTAGTAATGGCTTCTATGCTTATATATGGTTCCTAAATCTCATGTCGGGGTTTCCAAAAAGAGGTTCCCTCTCTCTCTTTCAAGGCTATGGAATCTTGTGACAGGAGTTCTTTCCTCTTGCG